GGAGAAGAATATTAGAGTAAAGTGTTGAAAGGAAGTATATTGATGGTCTATGGTTCTCACAGAAGTGAAAAAGGGAGGAGATATAGGATAAAAGAAAGTTAGGAAGGATTGATGAGAGGAGGATTTACTATCCCTCTGCTAGAGTCATATTATAGAGAGAAGTTGATGTCATCAAACAGATGAATAGTCAGATAGATAGATATTTCTAAACATAGATAGATAGATATTTACAAAGAAATCGCACCCTGGAATGGAATGGAAGTACGAGAAGCATTCGGTTTCTTCAATTGGAATAAAATCGCGCTTTAGCTTTGATTCAAAGATCTTTAAACTTAAAGAGTTGTCTTTTCTTTCTTTTTTCAAAAAAAACGCATAATTGCCGATATAAAAGTATAAAAGAGAAAAAGAAAAAACATATGGCTAATTGGTCAAATTGTAATGGAAAGTCTTAGCTTGCTGGGAATAGGACCGAACCGTTAAATCGGCATGAAAGTGATACTTTATTCAAGGTCGTATACAGAAAAAAATCTTGGGTAACAGAACATGATAGATAATAGATAGATAAAAATCAATTTTATGATATTTTACTATGGAGATTTTATCATAGATAAATGTATAGAGATAATCTACCTCTGAGATCCCTTAAATCCCTCCTTGATCACCCAGACATGCCCTACTAGTAAGTTACTGTACTAGCTCCTTAAATAACATAAGACAATGTTTTATCATTATTATTTATCATTACTAAAACTGTATTTTGTAGGTTTGAAATATATGTGTTTAGAGTTCCTCGAACTAGCAATCGTCAGTGATTATTCTCGAACAATACTATATCTTCGGTCAGTGTAGTGCAGATTACTGCAGTACACACCTAAAGCTTAGTTGAGGGTGATCATGTCGTCTTCCTATTCCATTATTTTCTGATTATCACTGTAAATATAGGTTTTATTAGAAATATTTCTCTATTTAATCAAAAAAAAGAATATTCCAAGGACAAGACTAGGTATAGACCTCTACACAGTGCACAATTCCCCAGATATATTTGGCAGATTATCTTAATAATGTTTGATCGATTACATTATTCTTCATTGTATGTTGTGCATAAATTTATACAAACATGGCATATTCTGATTTCCCTGATTAAATGCTTGGTTTCCAAACCCGAGTTTTTATATCTCTGCGAGAGTGAAAATCACTTTTTTGCCAATAAGGACAATTTACATTGGTTTCACATAAAAGGGAAACGTTTAGTTTTCAATGTCACTTAAAGAAACAAACCTAAAGAGTTTTGACCAAAAGGAATTGAGTTTTACCACAAACTTAAATTTTCTAATCCCTATTTCTTTGTAACCTGAAAAATATTGAAAAATTACTATTTAATTTAACAGAATTTATAGTTTGAAAAAAATCTAAGGTCTACCGACATCGGGGTTCAAATTTAACTCACAATAGTGGAAAAACAAAAGTGGGTTTTCACATAAAGATTTTAAAGCCTTTTCTTCGAGAGCTTTTTAGAGAAATAAGTTGTGTGTTTAAAACATGAAGGAGTCAAGATTAAGATTGACCGAGGCGGAGAATAGGGGGAAAGGAATTGAATCTTTGCCACAAATTCTAATTTTCTAATCCCTATATCCTTGCTACTCGATGTCGGAGACCTTAGATAGTTTAAACTATGAATTCTGTTAGATCAAATAATCTAAATTTGAAAAAATCAAAGGTTTACACTATCAGGATGCAAAGGTGTAGGGATTATAGATCTATCTCCCGGATTTTTTTTTAAATAAACTTTTTTTAGCTTTCTAATCTTAGGCCAATAAAAAATCCTTGTCCAAAGCTATATGTACATGTACATAGCTTATAAGTACATAGCTTATATGACGTACATAGCTTATATGTACATAGCTTATAAGTACATAGCTTATAAGTACATAGCTTATATGTACATAGCTTATAAGTACATAGCTTATATGTTCATAGCTTATATGTGTCATAAGTTTTTTTGTCACACCCCTTGTAAAAAATATTTTGTTGAACTACCCTCAATACTGTTTTCGCGTTAAAGTTTGCAAGGCTAGAAAGGTGAATTAAGCGAATAGTTGCAGCTTGCCAAGGGTCTAATTGTGCAAATAGAGTCTTTCTCATTAATCTCTAGTTTCCTTCTCTCCTAGTTCGAACTCGTAAACAAAGCATTTATACTCTCAAATTATTCTAACCGTGACATTTTACGACGAGAAAAGTAATGTAACTTTTTTGTTTCCGTTTTTTATCTTGCAATATGAACGGAGAAAAAACAAAATAAGTTTAACTGATTTCATAACAAGTTTATAATAGCCTTTAAGTATAGAAATATCAGAAAAAAAAACATTGAGAAAACGAAGAGTTTTTCTACAAAAATTCAAGGGCGATTAACTAATTTAAATAATGTTTTAAACATTTATGAACATTAGAAAACAGTTTAGTTTGTCTCGTTTTAATGATCACATTTTACAATTAATTTTTTTTCTTGACAAATATATGATTTTAAAAACAGAGCTGGGAACTTTTGAATGGTGGATATCGGAATTAATGCTTGATCCACTCTTTTTTTTAATCTCCAGATTAAATAATGCTTGTTCTCTTCTTTATATTAATTTCCAGATTAATTTACTGATCGGGATTAAGGATATTCCATTTTAAAGTTTTCAGCTCTGAGCTGAAAACTTTAGAAAGGTGGATATTGAGATTAATACTTGATCGTCTCTTTTTCTTAATATCGAGACTAACCTAATCTTGTACTTTCATCGTAAAAAAAGAATAAAATTTAACCAATCAGAGTCGTGTATATGAAGCCGATAAATTTGAAATTTTGCGCGCCATTTAAGATTAATATGCACAAACGGGTGGAACTCTTTAATTTTAAAAACCAGTTTTTGTTTTTTTCTTTTATATCAAAGAAAGAACGGTTTAAAAAGAAAATCAAAAGTGTGTCCATTGGATATTCAGATTAAGTAATCGGGATTAATAAAGTGTAAGTATTCAGGCCTGAATTATGTGTTCGGAAAGCCGCCGCGTTGTAAATGTTTAGTGTTAGTTGAGATTTGAACCCAGGATTATATAAACTCAATTCTTAGATATTTACGGAAAGGAAAATAGTTACAAAAGGATTATTCTGATGGTAATAATTGGGTTATATTTTGATTGGTTTCTCTCAGTTTTTATTTCGATTCAGCTGTGTAATATGCAAAAATTCGATCATTGCTAATTCATCTAAATGGATCAATATCTCTAATCCTTATGTATTAATAAGTGTGCAAAAAATGATTATATCAAAAGGGTTATCCACAAAGGATGAGACTTTAGAAACAACATTATTGAATATAAACTGAAATTATATTTTTTTAATTCTCAGAATCAAGTATTAATCTCCAGCAACCACATTTTCTTGTAATAATTTTATCCTTAAATATAAAGTAACCACATTTTCTTGTAATTTCTCTATTGTTTCTGAAGCAAGAAATGTGCCAGTCACTTTTACATATGAATCCACAAAAATCAACAGTTTTCAAAAACAAAAATATGCATATCTAAATCATACTTGATCGCATAAAGCACTGTGTTCCTTTGTTATTTGTAAATTTACAACCTGTTTGTAAATTGATTTTTAAAGGTAAATGGATTGAAAAACATACCTATTACCTGTATAGTATATATGTATGCATAATTTATAAATTGTATTTAAGTACATGATCTCAATTATATAAAAAAAACTAAAAGTCCTGATAAAGATTTTAAAAAGATATGTAGTTAGACTAACAAATATCTAGAAAATATCTTGTCTAACTCTAAATCGTTATCTTTACAATTTAGAAATCTAATTATCACTTTCATGTCTGTCTCTTTGGAATTTAAAGAGAGCTTCTTCACAAAATATAATTTTAACCTTGAATTTTGATTATTCATGTTTGTTTTTAAGGTTTATTACAAACCTTAAACCCCTAATGTTGTGTAATTGAACAAGCAAGATTAGTAAAAATCACAGTAAAAAAAACAATAAAATGATAATACAAGGTGGAAAATATTCTTTCTTTTCTAGATTAAAAAGTGTTAAATTCTGATAATTCCTCCATGTTCTTTTAGTAGAAATACGCAAGTCACTTTTGAATAGATACACCATAATTGTAAAAAAATCCGTTTTCTAAATTATTACCATATAGATATCTTTTTCATGTTGATAACAGATTATATGGGTACCGTTGTTAATTGTCCATTTCCCTCTGCATGGATCGGGTCACATGAAATTACGCTTACAGAACAGTCTCATAAACTTTTAAGACCTTTTTATTACGACGCTCTATATATATTTGCTTTTAAACTTTCACTATATTTGACCAATCTACAACATCTTTAGAGTAAATTAGAGTATGATGTCTGTCTCTTTGGAATTTAAAGAGAGCTTCTTCACAAAATATAATTTTAACCTTGAATTTTGATTATTCATGTTTGTTTTTAAGGTTTATTACAAACCTTAAACCCCTAATGTTGTGTAATTGAACAAGCAAGAATAGTAAAAATCACAGTAAAAAAAAACAATAAAATGATAATACAAGGTGGAAAATATTCTCCCTTTTCTAGATTAAAAAGTGTTAAATTCTGATAATTCCTCCATGTTCTTTTAGTAGAAATACGCAAGTCACTTTTGAATAGATACACCATAATTGTAAAAAAATCCGTTTTCTAAATTATTACCATATAGATATCTATTTCATGTTGATAACAGATTATATGGGTACCGTTGTTAATTGTCCATTTCCCTCTGCATGGATCGGGTCACATGAAATTACGCTTACAGAACAGTCTCATAAACTTTTAAGACCTTTTTATTACGACGCTCTATATATATTTGCTTTTAAACTTTCACTATATTTGACCAATCTACAACATCTTTAGAGTAAATTAGAGTATGTGAAGAGTAATCAGTTCTTTTTCTTTGAAATTTTGAAATTAAAATTTTTTTCAGAAAAAAATACTTACGGTTTAGTGATTTTTCTTGAAGATTTCTAGCTCTCTGATCTACAGAGAAAGTAGATGGTTCTACAGTTGAGCTAGATCTACTGATAAACCTAGATGATGGAGGAGGGAGTCCACTATGCTACTGAGGATGGGAAGATGGACACTATTAGAAGAATTAGAATAGATAATATTGAAGATATAGAAGAAGAAGAGGTCAGAGTCCAGAACTAAAGAATGCAAGTTACAGCTTAAATGTTAAATTTCAGCTTGAATTAAACCTTTACTTTAAGCTATAGCTTAAATATTTATCTCACCGAAATTGATATGTTAAATATTTAAACCCATTAAAATCCCATTATAGTTTCTCATCATTTTCTATCAATCAATCATGAGTTTCTGAAAAATGTTGCAGCTCTATAACAGTCATGGATTAAATTAAATTGAACCCCGAATTTATTATTTTACAGAACTTTTAACGTAAAATTCTCGCATTCTTTAGTATTGGACTCAGTAAAATCAATATACCTTACACAGATTCATAGTTTGGTCACAAGCAGAAGCAGCGCATACAAACCATAATGATTTGATAATGTCTATTGTCTGAGATTCTTCATTTTCAATCACAATTTAATCGGCCAAAATGTGTTTTTTGTTGTTGCAATTTTAGGTTCTGAATATTAAAATTTATGTATTTAAGGTTTTAATAGGACAGACCTAAGTTTTTTTTTTAATTTCTTATAACTAATAAATTATGGCTGAAGCTGTCCAATAATATTTTTTAACACGATTTTTGTTAAATATTTTTATTTCAAACTTTCATAAATCTAAAATAGTTTATTTTGGATATATTTGGTTTATCAAACAACGTATCCAGTTTATTTTGGATATATTTGGTTTATCAAACAACGTATCCAGTTTATTTTGGATATATTTGGTTTATCAAACAACGTATCCAGTTTAGGAATTTTACGACATAAATCAAAGAAAGTTTGAATTTGCAATAAAAATTACAAAAAGTCCTCATTAAAAAAAAACACTCTTCAGCACCACCCTCCCCCCCACTTCCCCTTTAAAATTCAAAATTCAAAGAGAACAGAAAAATTGTTCCAAATACTCAATTCTGAGAAATCTGTTTCAAAGATGAATTTTGACGGCACAATATCATGCAAAGTCTCCCCCCCCCCACATCTTTGCATGTAAAAGCAAAATGTTAGAATGCATTTTGTATTGGGCATATTTTGCTGTGCTTGAAAAATTCTAAAATGATAATTTCAACCTAGCTATTAAAACATTCATCCTCAGATAAAAAAATTTAAAAATTTATTTGTTGCATAATTTAGTTTTCTATCCTTATAAGAATATTGTCTTTATTGGATGTCTATAAACCAAAAGCCAATAATTCTCTACAATTTTATTTAAAACTCTAAAACCGAATTGAGGTACTGAATCATTGATCATGATGGGCAATAACTTGCTAGTGATGGGCAATAACTTGCTACTGATGGCCAATAACTTGCGAGTGACGGGAAATAACTTGCTAGGAATGGGCAATAACTTGCTAGTGATGGGCAATAACTTGCTAGTGATGGGCATTAACTTGCTACTGATGGCCAATAACTTGCGAGTGACGGGAAATAACTTGCTAGGAATGGGCAATAACTTGCTAGTGATGGGCAATAACTTGCTAGTGATGGGCAATAACTTGCTAGCGATGGGCAATAACTTGCTAGTGATTGGCAATAACTTGCTTGTGATGGGCAATAACTTGCTAGTGATGGGCAATAATTTGCTAGTAATGGGCAATAATTTGCTAGTATTGGGCAATAACTTGCTAGTGATGGGCAATAAGTTGATCAAACCACAAAATAATGTAAAAAAATGTTTTTAGCATTTCAAAACTGTAATCTGTAAAAGTTTGCTGAGAAAAATGGAAAGAAACTATAAACCAATAAAAAGTATCTTTTTCTGGGTTTTTTTCTTGTCCTAGAGATAAAATTTGGAATAAAGTAAGGAGAGCAAATAATTAGAATAAACAAAGGAATTGAGTTTTTGCCACAAACATAAATTTTCTAACCCTATATCTTTACAACATGATTGTATTGTATTTCAAACTTACACTGAGCTTTATCTACCATAATTTAAGTTTGAAATATCAAAAGTCTACTAAATCGGGTTGTAAAGATATAGGGATTAGAAAATTTGATGTTTGTGGTAAAAACTCATTCCTTTAAAATTCATATAAGATTTGTTTGGTACCTTTTAAAAGTCAAAAACAATTTAATTTTAGATAGAGTGGGAGGATATAAAACCCTGGCCTATAGAGCTGGATACTATCCTGGAGAGATTATACACATTCAAGGAGAAACTATACAACAAGCTGAAGAGAAGGACAGGGAAGGAGGATATCCAGGTTGGAGAGAGAGACCGGGTTGAACCAGGAGAAGAATTGACAAGAGAGCTGGAGGACGCCTGGTTTATGTTCACCAAGGTCAGGAAATTCACGGATTAATTAGCAAAGACGATATTTCTAAAAGATGGTTTGGGTTTCCTTCTGAATAGAAATATAATTTTCATTGATTTTAATTCATATTTTGTTTTAAACATCGCAGATCTTATTTGATGAATACCAAGAATTATTTAAAATAAAACTGCTTCTACGTGGTTGAACCACTTAGAGAAGTGGTTTAAATTTGTCTAAACGGTTCAGCTATTCAGCTATATCTTCATATACTCTTATTTTAAACCAATTTTAGCTTGATATCCCTTTGTCTCATAACGCTAATGTTTTTACATGTATATATATAAACACATATTTATATATATATA